AAATAATTATTTTATTTATACAAATACAAGAATATTCAATTTATATAATTATTAAATGATAATCAATTTTATATATGCATGCTTATTGTATTGCACTATATAATTTATATTATATAGTTTGTTTTAATCTATATTTTATAATATATTTTTGAGAAAATAAAATATTAATACTATGTAAGGCTGTTAAATGATAATTATTACCTCCAGAAATTAAATAAATCACATAACATCTATGCTTACTTTACTCTAGAGAATATTATTATTCTCCTTTCAAACCTTTTAGATATGAAATTACTAATTTGAGTTAAAGTTGATCCTAACTACTAATTATTTTGCAATTTGTGATTAATTTGATAGAATTACTAATTTATTTGAAGTTTTGATTTGTTGACTAATTGACATGTGCCTGAATTATACTTGCAAATTATACCCCATTCAAGAATTAAAAAAAAAAATCATCAATCCTCTTTTCCTCATTAAAATGTGTATGATGCATTTTCAAAAAGTTGGATGAAGTATTAGCATACTAAGATTAATTAGAGGTACCATAAATCTCAATAAATTAATTATTAGTAAGATGGTAATAAGGGATGGGGGAATGAAAAATCAATCCTTGTTAATTATATATTTATAGAGGAGTGGACCAAATGATGTTTGTTATTTACAGTTTCGAAATTTGCTTCTCCAATTCAATGTTATTAGTCCATCACTGTGAATTTGTATTTCTACCATAGCAACCAACTACTCCAATTCATGATGATACTTGGAAAAGAATACATCATACACAAATTAAACTTAATTTCGTATGTTTTTGAGACCAAACGTATATTTAGAGGTTAATTTGTCAATTTTAGTATTCCCACTATAAACCATTCACCCAAGCTGAGGACCCACTTTTAGAAAGATGTTCTTCTCCGATGCAAGATCATCAATCGATTTCACTCTATTCTATTCTACCATGTGACTGTGAACGAACAATTCTAAAAAAAAGAGAGACCTCCGAATGTATTATTTTATTGACATCGATCGGGCAACTCTGATTTTTCTCTTCCTCTTTGGTACCCATCAAACTGTTTGCTGTACAGATATTGACTATAAACCAAGTCTAAGTGAAGAAAGGCATATTGATTTCACCTTGTCCTTCTCTTTAGTCTATTCTCATTATTCATGTATTAATTCTTTGAGGAAAATTTGAATTCATTACCTAACACTAGGAGGGGCATCCTTTTTTGAAATTTGTAATTAATTAACTTTTTAAGTCAAAGTATCAAAATTTAGAATTATCAAGAGGTCAATAAAAAAATAATAATGTATGAATTGTATCGTCTCAATGAAATTGCTTGCTAATTTCTTGAAAAAGTATAAAGATGATGTTTAAGTGAAAGAACGTAATAATTCAATAATAAAATAAAGGCAATAATTCAATAATAAAACAAAAAATAAAAAGTAGACAAGGAAAGGTCCGCAAGCTGAATGATTACTGCCACCACCACTTGTGCTTATCTTAGTGAAAGCAAAAATTGGGGTAAAAGATAATGTGTGAGTTGTATATTCTCAATGATTGCTTGTCAATTTTTCAGAAAAGTATAAAGATGATGTTTAAGTGAAAGAACGCAACAATTCAATAATAAAATAAAATAAAAAGTACGCAAAGAAAAATGTGAAACCTGATTGACTACTACCACCACCACTTGTGCTATCACCGTGTTGTTCTTAATGAAAGTGAAAATTGGACGCAAGTGGTCCGATGAGTCACACAAATAATGTTTAATTAGGCACCAGACTAACATAATACAATAAAATAATAAATAGCTCCCCAGAAGATAAGAAACTGATGAAGATAAGGATTAAGAAGTGGCATAAATAGGATAAAAGCGTTTGTCACTAAGCGACATTTCAATAAAAATCAAAGAGAAGAATTCGATAATATTCCACGAGCTACAGTTCTAAAAGTAGTAAATAGATTTTACAGTAGCAAAAAATTAGATAAGTATGGCTTTTTTATAAATCAAATTTAATACTTTAAATTACAGAAAAAATATTTATCTCACAACATAATTATACATATTTTACTCATGAGAGCTTCTACCAAAAGATCAAACACGGTTTTTTTTTTTTTAGCCCTTCAAACACGGGTTTGAAAAACATAGAAACACTGCTGAACAAACATGCAAAATCCAAATCTTTTTTCCATAAATTTTGGGTGCCAGTAAGAGTAAAAAACTATCTTCCCTCTTGCCCTTAATTCAATTGTTATATTAGACCATATAACTTAAATTATTGATAAATTAAACTTTAAATATTTGAGATTATTTTTGTATAATGGTTTTTCTCTTCTTTTTTTTTTTTTGTTGAGAATTCTTTTTCTCTTTTCAATTTGTTTATTTCTCTACATTTAAGCTCTATAAAGTACTCTTTAACCTTACCAAGTAATTGGCATAAACAACTTTC